AACTTCTAGCCTCCTGAATTATAGGAGAATAAACTCTTGTTTCTTCAAGCCATTCCATTTGTGGTATATTTCTGTCAGAGTAGCACTCACCAACCAGAAAAGTAATTCTATGCAGAGAACATCCAAGAAAGAAAGCATAACATGAAGAAAGGCAAAGGGTCAAAATTCTGAATTACATTCATTGATATGAATATTATATGGATATAAAGAGTGAGATGAAAAATAATCCCATTCACTTCTTAGGTGAAAATCATTTGAAAGAGTTGTGCATAGTATTTAAAAAGTTCAATATGTCTGACAGCCATGCAATAAGGTAAAATCACTTTATTCTTTAGTACTTGGAAGTTTTCAAGAAGGATCCTAAAAGTAACAGTCACACTTCTTAAGAATATTGTTATTGTTAAGTGCCATTGAGTCATCTCTGACTCATAGTGACCCTATGCACAGAAGAATGAAACACCACCCAGTCCTGAGTCATCTCCACAATTCTTGCTACACTTGAGCCCATCATCGCTGCCACCATGTCAGTCCACCTTGTTGAGGGCCTTCCCCTATTTCATTGACCCAACACCTTACCAAGCATAACATCCTTCTCCAGGGAATGGTCCCTTCTGACAACATGACCAAAGTATGTGAGATGAAGTCTGGCCATTCTCGCCTCCAAGGAGCATTCTTGCTGCACTTCTTCCAGGAAAGACCTGTTAGTTCTTTTAGCAGTCCAGGATACTTTCAGCACTCTTCATCAGCACCATGGCTCAAAAGTATCAAATCTTCTTTGGTCTTCCTTATTCATTACAGCTCTCACATGCATATGAGGCCATTGAAAAGACCATGGCTTGTGTCAGGCACATCTTAGTCCTCAAGGAGACATCGCTGCTCCTTAGAACTTGAAAGAGGTCCTTTGCAGCTGATTCACCCAGTGCTGTACATCCTCTGATGTCCTGACTCTGCTTCCGTTGAGATCGATTGTAGAACCAAGCAATGTGAAGTCTTTGACAATTTCAATCTTTTCTCCAGTTATCATAATGCTGCTTATAGGTCCAGTTGTGAGGATTTTTGTTTTCTTTATAATGAGATGTAATCCATACTGCAAACTGTATTCTTCAATCTTCATCAGTAAGTACTTCAAGTGATCCTCACTTTCAGCAAGCAAAGTTGTGTCCTCAGTGTATCGCAGGTTGTTAATTATTCTTCCTCTAATCCTGATGCCATGTTCTTCTTCATATAGTCCAGCTTCTTGGATTATTTGCTCAGCATACAGATTGAACAAGTATGGTGAAAACATACAACCCCAATGCACTCCCTTCTTGCTTTTAAACCATACAGTGTTCACTTTTTCTGTTTGAATGACAACCTCCTGATCAATGTACAGTTTCCTCATGTGTACAATTAAGTATTCTGGAATTCCTATTTTCTCAATGTTATCCACAATTTGTTATGATCCACACAATCAAAAGCTTTTGCATAGTCAATAAAACACAAATAAACATCTTTCTGCTATTCTTTACTTTGAGCCAAGATCCATCTGACATCAGCAATAATATCCCTCATTCCATGTCCTCTTCTGAATCCAGCCTGCACCTCTGGAAGTTCCCTGTAAATATACTGCTGCAACCATTTTTGAATTATCTTCAGTAAGATTTTACTTGCATATGACATAAATGATATTGTTCAATAATTTCCACATTCTGTGGGATCACCTTTCTTTGGAATGGGTACAAATATGGATCTCTTCTAGTCAGTTGGCCAGGTAGCTGTGTTCCAAATCTATTGGCATAGCTAAGTGAGTGCCTCCAGTGGGGCATCTGTATGTTGAAACCTTTCAATGGGTATTCTATCAGTTCCTGGAGCCTTGTTCCTTACCAATTCCCTCAGCACAGCTTTGACCTCCTCCCTCAATACTACTAGTTCTTGAACATATGCCACCTCCTGTGGATGAGGATTGACCAGTTCTTTTTGGTACTGAGACTCTGTGTATTCATTCCATCTTCTTTTGCTGTTTCTTGCATCATTCAATATTTTTCCCATAGAATCCTTCAATATTGCAACACAAGGCTTACATTTTTTCCTCAGTTCTTTCAGCTTGAGAAATATTAAGCTTGTTCTTCCTTTTTGGTTTTCTAACTCCAGAGCTTTGCACATTTCATTATAGTAATTGGCTTTGTCTGCTCAAGCTGCTCTTTGAAATCCTCTGTTCAGCTCTTTTATCTTGTCATTTATTCCATTTGCTTTAGCTCAAGGGCAAGTTTCAGTCTCTTTTGGCATCCATTTTGGTCTTTTCTTTCTTTCTTGTATTTTTACTGACCTCTTGCTTTCCTCATGGATGATGCTCTTGATGTCATCCCACAATTCTTCTGGTTTTCGGTCACTGGTGTTCAATGCATCAAATCTATTCTTTAGAGGGTCTCTAAATTCAGGAGGGATATATTCAAGATAATATTTTGGCTCTTGTGGACTTGTTTTAATTGTCTTCAACTTCTAGTTGAACTTTCATAGAGCAGTTGATGGTCTGTTCCACAATCAGCTCATGGCCTGGTTTTGGCTGAAGATATTGAGCTTTTCCATCGCCACTTGCCACAAATATTGTCAATCTGATTCCTGTGTACTCTGTCTAGTGAAGTCCATGTGTATAGCCACTGATTGTGTTGTTGAAAAAAGGTATTTGCAATGAATAAGTTGTTGGTATTGCAAAATTCTATCAAGCGATCTCCAGCTTTATTTCTGTCACTAAGGCCAAATTTTCCAACTACCAGTGACTCTTCTTGGTTTCCAACTTTTGCAGTCCAAACACCAGTGATAAGCAACACATCTTGATTGCATGTTTGGTCAATTTCAAACTGCAGAAGTTGATAAAAATCTTCAGTTTCCTCACTTTTGGCTTTGGTGGTTGGTTCATAAATTTGAATAATAATCGTATTAACTGGTTTTCCTTGTAGGCATATGGATATTATCCTATCATTGACAGCATTGTACTTCAGGACATATCTTGAAACATCTTTTGTGATGATGAATGTCATGCCATTCCTCTTCAAAGTGTCATTCACGGCATAGTAGATCATATGGTTGTCTGATTCAAAATGGCCAAAACCCATGCATTTCAGCTCACTAATGCTGAGGATATAAATCTTAATGTGCTCCACTTCCTTTTTGACAACTTCCAATTTTCCTAGATTCATACTTCATATATTCCATGCTCTGATTATCAATGTATATTTGCAGGTGTTACTCCTCAGTTTAAGTCATGCCACTTCAGCACATGGAGGTCCTGAAAGACTTACTTTATCCATATCATTAGAGTTAGTTCTACTCTAATGAGGCAGCTCTTTCCCAGTCCTATTTTGAGTGCCTTCCAGCCCAACAGCTAGTCTTCCTGCACTGTGTCGGACAATGTTTCCAAGCTATTCATAAAGTTGCTCAGTAATATATCAGACAGTGTTTCTCTGCTATTTCATAAGGTTTCCCCTGGCCAATTTTTGAGAAATGGATGGTCTCCTCCTTTTTCCTAGTCTGTCTTAGTCTGTAAGCTGCATTGAAACCTGTGCACCATGTGCAACTCTTCTGGTGTCTAAACACAGCACAGCCTCAAGCATCACAGCAACATATAAGCTTCACAGGATGACAAACTGACAGACAAGTTTGTCTCCCTTAGCTGTTGGAAACCTTTGCACCCTCATCTTACCTAATTCCTACCTGAAACCTGCCACTCTGTGGTCCCCAGCTGCTCCTGGTCCCTCCTTATCCTGGCTCTAGGGGTTTGGGACCTAGCTTTGCCTCCCACACCTTTTTACCTGGATATCCTGGACCCCTAGATCCAGGAAAGGGAGGAATCAGGAGAGGCTTTAGGGACATCAGGAGTGCCAGGATATCTAGGACTTCTTAAGAATAAACTAGAAATTTTCTTTAAAATTGTTTGAAAATGGAGAAGCTTGAACATGGCAAGTTAATGACCTTATTAATATTCTGTAGACAGTTAAGAGCCAGGAGCAGCTCTCCCTGATGACATTCCTTAGGCACTTGAGATCAGAGAAGACCAGAGCAATATTGGAGATGAGGCAGATCTTTTCTTACATCATTGAATATCACATCTAGAAGAAGCCATGGAGATGTGATGCAACTGATATATTTAGTGGAGAGATAACTTATGTCCAGAATGATGAATGCTATGCACATGATTACAGAAGTTCTTAATGCTAGGGCTAGCACCTAAAACCAAGGCTTCCTGATTCTGGTTCACTGGGTTTCCACTATATGTAAAATGCAAGCTCAACAATATGTCTGTTGAGACTATATTTTTGCTGAAGTCAATAATCATTTAAATGGGCTCTCATAGACACCTTTTCTTCAATATTGCAAATAAGGAAGTAACAGGACTCTTATTTTCCTCTAGCTCTGGTGGTGTAGTCACTAAGGCATTTGACTGCTAACCGTAGGCTGGTGGTTCAAACTCACCAGCTACTCATTGGAAGGAAGATTGGGTAATCTACTTCTGTAGAGATATTGCCTTGGAAACCCAAGGAGGGGTCGTTATGAGTCAGAGACGACTCAACATCACTGAGTTTGGCTTTTGGTTTTATAAAGAATGGTAAATAGTATGAAGGCTAAAGGACTGTTTATTTGATGGAGTGATTTACAAATTATTTACTCACAATATTTTTCTTTCCATAATTACTCTCATTCATTTTCATTTTAGTTTCTTCATTTATGAATAGAATATCCCAATAACACTGTATATCAAAATTTTGTGAGATTCAAGTGAGGTAATTGAAAATGTAAAAATAAGTGAAAACTAATATTGGACAACATTCAAATCTTGCTGTCATTCCAGGTTACAAAATGGGACCTCTTGTTTAAATTTTGCATATTTTACACACTTTCTGCAATGAGTAAGTATTATGTCTATTATTGGAAACATAAAGTGCTCTTTTTGAAATTTAATGAGGGTTTGTTTTTGAAAAAAAAAAATGAAAAATGTCATTTAATATAAAATTTCATCCCCTTAGATGATCTATCTTTGCCAGAATGCCAAGGATGTGGCTGTTTCTTCTTATTATTTACATGTAATGATACCTGTTCCTCCAAAACCTGGTTCATTTATAGAGTTTGTGGAGAAATTCATGGATGGTGATGGTAAGAGCAACTGTTTTTTTTCTTGATAATCTTTGTAACCTAGGTGAATGATTCAGAATTTGATTTGATTGAATTTGATTCAGATGTGTATCTTCTCAGACCAATTTTTGTTCTCTGTTCTGACGTTATCTTCCCTGATCTTTAGTCAAAACACTCTAGAGGACCTTGAAGTTTAGAGCAATTAGAGAGTTTCCAAAGGAGTTCTGATGGAGTACTGGATAAGGCATTTGGCTACTAACCAGAAGGTCAGCCATTCAAACCCGCTAGATGCTCCATGGAAGGCAGTAAGGGTGATGTAGTTCTACAAAGATTTACGGCCTTGGAAATCCAATGGGAGTCACTATGAGTTGGAATTGGCCTTGATGGCAGTGAGATGTTTTTTTTTTTTTGGGGGGTGGGTGGGTTATAAGGTTTCCAGATATGAAATACCAAATTACAATATCTGGACAATTGTAGTCAAAAACTTAGAAATAAATATATAGAATATATTGGGAATTGAAGAGAATATATTTTTCTAAGATTGTGTCTCATTGGCCTGAACTCTCTCATCTCCTTTTATTAGAAAAGTGTTTCACACTGTGGTATAACAACTCTATTGAACAAAGGGCAAGGGAAAACAAGGGAGAGGATGTCCATTTATTTCCAAGAAAGATGCCAGATGCCTTAATGGTGTTATTTGGCTAACAAAAGAAAAGGTAGTAAGTGGCCCTCAGAGCTGAGTAAGTTGTATACGGCTACTCAGTTAATAATATGGGGTCATAATTCACAAAAAGTCTGAATGTTTCCAAAGCTCTTGCTCTTTTTATTCAGTATGCAGTTTGAATGTTTCAATCAGATTTCACAGACCAGTACAAGAAATATTTAAGCAACATTCTGGGAAAGTTTACCTTTTAACCTTATTCTGAAAGCAAAATCCTTTCTAGTTCAGTCAATTCCAACTCATGGTCACCCCTTGTGTTTCAGACTAGAAATGCACTCCATAGAATTTTCAATGGCTGATTTTTTTTTCTGAAGAAGATCACCAGGACTCCCTTCCTAGGATCCTCTGAGTACCTTCAAATCTCCAACCTTTTGGTTAGCAGCTGAATGCTGAATTGTTTGAACCACTGAGGGACTCCAACTTTAGCCTAAAACAACTGAGATTAGAATGAAAACATGCAGGATTCTAATGTTTACTAAAAAGGCAATTTGAGTCATGTAGTAATAATTGAAAGAAAATATTAATAATGCATTTTTATAGAAAGAATATAATATTGAACCAATAAAAGTAGAATGGGTGTTCTGTGTTTGTTGCTACATTTTTTAAAACAATATGGTGAAGAGTCATGAATACTACCTAAGCCTCAGTATAAATGATCCACACTGTAGGACTGAAAAAGATAATGTTGTTCCTCTATAAAAAGGTTGAATAAGGTCATTATAATTATGATTATAAATTTTTTTCATGAAAGAAAGATAATATAATAGAGTAAAAAAACTGAATAGGTTTATAATGCCTCATTGCAATCCAGCATACTTTGGCTCACACAACATTATATTATTTTGTCAGTTTTTCATTGGGTAAAACCAAATATAGGTGAGAATAGAAAAGGGAGAGAAAATATAACATTTGATCACGTCATATCTCTCCAAGGTTTCTAATTTTCTATACTATAAGTTCCTAAGCAAATAGTTATTACCATTTAAACTCCAAGAGAATAATAAATATTCACACCACTATCTGCACTTGATAAAACTAGTTTGTAAATGGTAAATTTCAGACGTTCTTAATTCTTTTGATGATATTAGAAAAGTATGGATATTAGAAATTCTTCTACCTAAATTCCTTTCACTTAACAACCTGATTTCATACACACATGTCAATTTCAGAAACTGTTCTGAAACAAATCAGTGACATGTGGGCTTCCCTTCCTTTTTCTCTTTGTCACAAGCCATATTATAATAATGAAAGTTGAGAATGTGTTTTGGATATGGGTTACTCAAGATAATTCTTCTTGCTGCTGATAAATTTACTTATGACATAAGGCTGATCTACTAGTTATCTTCAGTTATCAATTATTTATATTTATTTCTTGCTACTATTATTTTCAAGATGCATTGAGATAACACTATGCTTATTAATTTTTTTTTCCCCTCTAATTTAGTTCCTTATTGTTACTGGTACAAACATGTAAAATCTTAGTGGGAAAAGAACAGCCCTCGTGTGTTATTTCTTGCCTATGAAGACATGCAAGAGGTGAGAACTGGGGAATATGCAAGAAAATTAAACATTTCTGAAATTTTAGCTTTTAATAAACTTTGGAAAATTTGCCCTTTACTGATGATAATCACCACCAAAATCATAGAGGAAAAGATCACATTAATTAGTATACTATAGCACAAATTTGAAGCTATGAAATAAAAATCTTTTGTGAATAAATTTTATACCTAGTTGTCAAAAATTTTTCAAAGATAAAATGAAAGAATTTATAGTTTTGTTTTGCCCAATTTTGGGTTTATAAACAAAGCATATGTGCTCAGACACACCCCCACAAACAACATACACAAGGAATCACCATCAGCTAGAAAAGTCAACTATTTGCCACACTGTGGACTTCAGAAATTTCAGAAAGGGGTTGTAAATAATTATATGGAAGATATTTTAATAAATAAAAGAAGAAATTAAAAATTTTACATAGGAACATGAAAAAACTAAAATTATCAAGACAGATTTTTAAAGCTATGTAGAATATCTAAAAATTTTTTTTAAAATATTAGAAAATCAAGAGATATATTAAATACCAGATAATATGTCAATATTAAAAATCTGACAGTAGAAATTATGTCAGGATATGGATCAGTGAGATACATCACACTGTTGGTGCCAGTATAAAGAGATACAACCACAATGAAAACATTGTGCCATTATCTTTCAAAGACAAGCATGTACATATATCTTATGGTCTATGTGCACACATACATATGTAGATAGATAGATAGATAGATAGATAGATAGATAGATAGATATAGATATAGGTATGTTGTTGTTGTTGTTATTTGCCGTCGAGTCAGCCCTGACTCATAGCGACCCCTTCTTGGGTTTCCGAGGCAGTATCACTACGGAAGTAGGATTGCCCAACCTTCCTTCCAAGGAGATACAGGTATAGATATAGATATAGCTATATATTCAGTAGGAAAACTCTTACTTGTACACTTTAGGCTATATTTACAATGATGTCCATAACATCATTATTTGTTACCATAAAAGTTAGAAAAAATACAAATATACATATACTGAAGGATGATTAGTTAATGTTTGGTATAGTCCTTCAATAAAACATTATATTGTAATACAAAGGAATAAACTTCAAATAATCTACATGGGTGAATTAAAAAAAAAAAAAAAAACTTCCAAATCCAAATGGAAAAACTTGAAGAACTATATTCTATTTCTTAAACAGTGAGTGTCAGATTAATTTTTATTCTTTAAATCACATGTACACATATTTCATAATTTAAAGAAATATAGAAAATGCTGGCTGTTTTATTAAGAGAGGAAAAATTTCTTCTTTCTTTAATTCTTGATTACCACAAAGAAAATGACTAATCTCCATAGACCTAATCTCCAGGGGTCCTGAAGAGGAAGTCAAAGCTGCAATAAAAGAACTGGCGAAGAACAAGGCTCCGGGAATTGACGGAATACCCATTGAGATATTTCAACAAATGGATATCCCATTGGAGGCACTCACTCAGTTCCAAGAGATTTGGAAGACAGCTAGCTGGCCAACTGACTGGAAGAGATCCATATTTGTGCCCATTCCAAAGAAAGGTGATCCCACAGAATGTGGAAATTATAGAACAATAACATTAATATTGTACGCAAGTAAGATCTTACTGAAGATAATTCAAACGTTTGCAGCAATATTTTGACAGAACTTCCAGAGGTGCACGCTGGATTCAGAAGAGGATGTGGAACAAGGGATATCATAGCTGTTGTCAGATGGATCTTGGCTCAAGACAAAGAATACCAGAAGGATGTTTACTTGTATTTTATTGACTATGCAAAGGAATTTGATTGTGTGGATCATGACAAATTATGGGTAGCATTGAGAAGAACGGGAATTCCTGAACATTTGATTGTATTCATGAGGAACCTGTACCTTGACCAGGAGGCTTGAATGGAACAAGGAACACTACATAGTTTAAAATCAAGAAGGGAGTGAGTCAGGGTTGTATCCTTTCCCCACACTTACTCAATCTATATGCTGAGCAAATAATCTGAGAAGCTGGACTATATGAAGAAAAATGTGGCATCAGGATTAGAGGAAGAATCATTAATAAGCTGAGATATGCAGATGATACAACTTTGCTTGCTGAAAGTGAGGATGACTTAAGGCACTTACTGATGGTTGAAGAATACAGTCTTCAGTAAGGATTACGTCTCAATATAAAGAAAACAAAAATCCTCACAACTGGACCAATGAGCATCATCACAATAAATGGAGAGATGATTGAGGTTGTCAAAGAATTCACATTGCTTGGTTCTACAATCGATGCCAATGGAAGCAGCAGTCAGGACATTAGATGACCTGTAGCATTGGGAAGGTCAACCACAAAGGAACTGTTTCAAGTGCTGAGGAGCAAGGATGTCTGCTTGAGGACTAAGGTGCACAAGCCATGATATTTCCAATCCCCTCGTATGCATGTGAGAGCTGGACAATGATTAAGGAAGACAGAAGAAGAGTTGATGCTTTTGAGTTGTGGTGCTGGCAAAGAATACTGAAAGTACCATGGACTGCTAAAAGAACATATCTGTCCTGGAGGAAGTGCACCTGAAATGCTCCTTGGAAACGAGAATGGCCAGACTTCCTCTCACCTATTTTGGTCATGCTGACAGAAGGAACCATTCCCTGGAGAAGGATGTCATGCTTGGTAGGGTGGAGGGTTGACGAAAGAGGGGGAGGCCTTCAACGAGATGGATTGACAGGGTGGCTGAGATGATGGGCTCAAGTATAGCAGGGATTGTGGAGCTGGCGTGGGATTGGACAGTGTTTCGTTCTTCTGTGCATGGGGTCTCTATGAGTCGGAAATGACTCCATGGCACCTAACAACAACACAACAAATCTCCATATCTTGTTCACACTTTTTCAGTTATAAAAATCATCATACTTTTGAAATAACTCTAGATTTTTATGAGGCATATTTAAAATGAAATTGTGACTAATATATTAGAAATTTAATTATTAATTATCTCTAGAATTCACACTAAAATAAATTGGAATAAAAGAAGCACTCATGGTCTGTACTTTATTATACTATCTAATTATTGTGAACTGTAACTATAATAATGAAGATGCTTAGGAAATTTAAAATGCTTACAAACAATTTATTAGTTGATTGCTCTCCCATATATTTTTCATGTTCATTCTTTTTTTCTTACTCTTTCTTTGGTCAATAATGGACACATTAAATTTTCTCTGTATTTAAATCAGTAAGGACCAAAAGAAAGAATAAATCATGGTTTTTGGTGTTTCCAGACTGTATTCAGAAAAATATATTAACATTATATGCAACACATATTACTACTATAGGCAAAGACAGTCTCGTGAGGAAGACAAGTAAATAAAAAGTTATAACATTACACTTATGGTAAAATAAATTGATATAGGAATTTATGAGCTCAATAAAGTGTTATTTAACCTAAAATTTCAAAGTCAATCTTTAATTTGCTGGATAGAGAAGGTGGGAAAGCATTCTAGGTAAGGGAACTGCACACTAGAATAAAAGTCCCAGTCAGTACTGTAGACAGTTGCATTGGATGGTTTGGCACCGTAAAGTAGAACCCTAGTAGGAGTACACTAATAATAGGGGACATTGTAGGGATGCATAGAGATGAGAATAATTATAACTATGTTGTATATACCACTGATATTTCATGTAGAGTATTTTGGTTTTTCACAGTTTATCTCAATCTTTCTGGTTTCTTTGCTTCTGACCAGGAGCTCTGGTGGTGTAGTGCCTAAGGCATTTGACCGCTAACCAGAAGGCTGGCGGCTCAAACCCACCAGCCACTCCTGGGAAGGAAGGTTGAGCAATATACTTTCTTAATGATACTTCCTGGGAAACTCAAGGACGGGTCGCTATGAATCAGATCAGACTCTACAGCAGTGAGTTCTTTGAGTTTGCCTCTGACCAGTTAAAAAAATAAAAGGAAAAAAAGCTGTCTTCAAAACTTGATTTTTTCAGAGAGGACTGTAGCCTTTGAGAGTTTATGCTCAGATTTATAGGTAATAATTGACCATTTACTATGTGACAAGGACTGCAATAATCACTTTACAAACGTTGCTGTTATTAAGTGCCGTTGAGTCGGACCCGGCTTATAGCGACCCCTCCTTGGGTTGCCGAGGCAGTATCACTACAGAAGTAGATTGTCCAACCTTCCTTCCGAGGAGTGGCTGGTGGGTTTGAAGCTCCAGCCTTCTGATTAGCAGTTAAGTGCCTTAGGGACTATGCTCCCAGAGCCCCCTTACAAACATTATTTCCTTTAGTTCTTCTGGTAATGTTCGAAGTATCTTTTATATCCAATTTATGGGTGATAAAAATTACAGATAGATGAAAAATTACCATTCCCCCAAAACTATTCTCTATTGTCTATTGTTTTTCTTCACTGAAATTCTAATTCTCATGTTAGAAGTTTAGTATAAATTTAGTATTAAAAATAATAAAAAGAAGAAGAAAAAAAATGAAAATTTGTATCTATTTCTCTAAATCAAATGGATTTAGCAAATTAAAATTAAATTAGCAGTTTAAGTTTAGCATTTAGACTTCAAAGGATTTTTTCCCTTTCTAGGATATCAGAAAAGAAGTGATAAAATTGATTAATTTCCTGGGATGGAAGCCATCAGAGGAGTTTGTGGAAAAGATTGTGCACCCTATTTCATTTGAAGAGATGAAGAATAATCCAAGTACCAATTACACAGCACTGCCAGAAGAATATATGAACCATAAAGTGTCCCCCTTCATGAGAAAAGGTAAGAAAAGGTGGAGTCACAGGTAGAGATGGTTATAGATGAAACCTAATGCAGTCCATTCAAGGATAGGGATCGAGCTTATGTATTCTCAGTGCTGTTTTATACTTTGGCATTTTCTTGGTGACACTATAGGGCAGGGTAGAACAGTCCCACAGGGTTTGCAAGGCTACAAATCTTTATAGGAGCAGACTGCAATATCTTTCTCACAGCGAATATTTAGAGGGTTGGAAAGTTTACATTTTGCTTAGCTTCCAAGAACTTAACCATTGCACCACAGGGCTCCATATATATGTGTGTGTGTATATATATATACATACACACACACACACACACACACACATATATATATATATATACAGAAAAAATATATATTTAAAAGGATATGTTTTCAATATATATGGGTGTGAGAGTGTATGTGTGTTAAAAAGCAAAGATATCAAAAGATATCACCTTGAGGCCTAAAGTGTACCTTACAAGCCATGTGAAATCTGTATAGTTAATAAGGAAGACTGGAGAAGAATTGATGAGTTTAAATTACAGTGTTGGTGAAGAATATAGACTGTCTTGGATAGTGAGACTTTGTCTTACATACTTTGGGACATCATGGTTGGTTGATTAGAGGGTCAGTAAAAAAGAGGAAGGACCTCAACTAGATTGACTGACATTGTGGCTACTATAATAGACTGTAACATAACAACAATTGTGAGGAAGGTACAGGACCAGGTAGTGTTTCATTTTGCTGTACATAAGAAAATTGAACTGAGTTAGAATTGCAAAAACAACTGTGTCTTGGTGCTATACCAGTTTTTTTTTAATCTATATTTATATATTTATACAGCTATAAATTCTAACTAGAATCTCAAAAGAGAGCTTCTATTATTAACTCATTATAAAATGAAAAAACAAATTTAGCACAATTAGTCCATTTTTCTTTGGCCAAATGGCAGACAACTTTCAAGACTAAGTGACAAAGAAAGAATCAAAACACATGTCTGCTTAGCAAAAATATCAAAATACAATGAGTTGAAATTATATTTGGAAGGCAGTATGGTCTGATGAGAAGTAAAAGCAAGGAGTATAGGCAGTATTTGTACATTCTGTTTACAAATATTTAAAGAAGAAATAGAATAGGGAAAACATTGTTCTTTAAACCAAGTTTTTGGTAAGAAATAACAGAAATAGCAAACATGAGTTGGATCCAACTCGATGGCAGTGAGTTTGGATTTTTTTTTTTTTTTACTTTTTGTTTTCAAGAAAGAGTTAATTCTCTATTTATCTATGTTTTAATTATCCATTCCATTCCTAAGATTATCCATTCCTAAGATTATCTAAGGAGCTCTGGTAGCGTAGTGCCTAAAGCGTTCGACTGCTAACCAGAAGGCTGGCTGTTCAAACCCACCAGCCACTCCTCGGAAGGAAGGTTGGGCAATCTACTTCCATAGTGATACCACCTTGGAAACCCAAGGAGGGTCTGACTCGATGGCACATAACAACAGCAACAACAACAACATGGGGCAGTTTTACTGTCATATACGGTTGCTACTTTTGGGAATACACTCTACAGTAGGTTTTTTTTTTAATTATTATTATTTTTAAAATTAACTCAGACTACTTTACCATTATATCTCTAAATATTTTTAAAGTGAAATAATTTAAAAATAATTGTCATGCTTGAAGAGGACTGACTAATGCTATTCTCTTATATACTACCTACCCTAAGGTTTTATATTTTCTATCTTTGGCTTTTTAGGTTGTTTCAGTAGTAAAATTTTGGATTCCCTGAACTAGATGTCAAGTGAATCACTAACTATATTTAAAACATGAGTGGCTTCTTTCAGCCAAGGTACTGTCAGGTGTGTTGAAAGGGAAAGGCATGAGCTGCTAGATTATGGTAATAACCAAGTTGGGAAATGTTGAGGTCCTTCACTACCTGGCAGAGCAGGTGAGGATTCAGAGGAGGCAATGGATACGAGAAACACAAGAATATAAATAAAGAATTAGATATTGAGATTGAGGGTAAATGTTTATGCCTTGGACAACTAGTGTTACCATTAAGGAGGGTATGGAAAACAACACAAAGAAAACATTATTTAGTGCAGAAGAAAAATTTATTTTTGAACTAGTTGAGTACAGAGTGTTTCTCCACCATCCAAGTGGTAATGCCATGTAAACACTTGGATGTGGAGGCCTCAGGCTAGATTTGAGAGTCATCAACATGGCAATGGTGTTGACACCTTAAGGGTGGTGAAACATGGGTCACACACTGACAACAGCCTCAAAGAGGGAAAAAAATTGGAGAAGAAAAATTAAGTGAAAGATCATAAGAAGGTCCAGTCAGAAAATCAAATTTGTTATAATTTTGTAGCCCATCAGAATAAATCCATCTGTTCAAATATTTATGTTATTTATATAGAAATAAAATAAAAATTGAGGATTGCAAGAATAAAATTTGATTAGATGTTAGTAAAAGTGATGAATATACGAAAATCTCATTATTCTGGTTCAAAGATATAATTATTTCTCCCTTGTTGCAGGGAGTGTAGGAAACTGGAAGAATCACTGTACAGTAGCTCGGAATGAAAGATTTGATGTGCACAATGAGCAAGAAATGAAAAGGTCGACTCTGAAATTAAAAACCACACTCTAGGTGTGATAGTTGGAGTTGTGTGTCAACTTGGCTGGACTCCAGTTCTGTGTGGTTGTTTCCATGATGGGATCGGATGACTGTGTTCTGAGTGGCCAATCTGTTCAAGGGGAATTTCCCTAGGGGTGTGGCCTGCTTCCAGGATATCCAGGGATATCCTGGGAGAGAGACATTCTTCTGTGGATCAGTATTCTGTTGTGCTGCCTATAACTGTCTGTGAGTGAGGAGTCCACCGTTCGGCCCGGAGATCTTGGATTCATCATTCATTGGAGTCAACAGCTGGTGTACTGCCTGCCAGCCTTGAGCTTCTCAGCCCCTGTGGTTGCGGAAGCTAAGAAAAGCCTCCAGCCTAATGTTTGCTCCACAGCCTTTGCATTTGCCGGCTTCTATATGTTTGTGAGCCATTTTCCTAAGGTAAATTTCTCTCTCTCTTTATATATATATATGATAAGCTTTGCTGTTTTTTGTTTCTTTTCTGTTTTTTTTTCTTGGCTATAATCTTTATTGAAGTAGATCACCAGTACTTTCTCTCCCTGAGTGGATGAGTGGATTTGAAAAGCCAAACTTTCAATTAGTAGCCGAGTGCTTAACTGTTTGCAATACCAGGGCTTTTTTTTTTTTTTGCTTTAATGCAACCTTTTACAATATTTCACCATGATGATAGAAATAGCCTCTGGCTGGTCTCCTGATATCTTGTCTATAATATTTTCCCATTCTGAAGTAACATCCACCCTGCCATATCTAATCACTTTATGGTTAAACAACATCCTCCATCAGATCCTCTCCCCTAAAGACAAAATTGCAACTCACTGGCATTGGAATTCATACCTAAATCTGAATTGATAGCATGAGCCTCATCTTCATCCAGCTTCATACTCCTGTGCCTGCCATATTCTTTCTTTGTTTCTTTGTTTCTTCCTTCCTTTCTTTCTTTCTTTTTATTTATTTATTTTTAATTGTGATTTGGGTGAACATTTACAAAGCAAATTCACTTTCCATACAGCAGTTCACATACACTTTGTCTCATGATATTGACCACAGTTTACCACAATGCAACGGCTCCCCTCCCACTTCCTTCCCATAGTTACCTCTTCCCAGTGTCCATCCCTCCATGTACTCCTGCCCTCTGAGCTGTCTCCCTGTGCATAAGCAGCCTTTCTCTCTCCCATGATTTTTCTCTCCAAGGAGTGTATCTACCTGAGGTAAATGTTAAACTCATATGCCTGTCTTTTGCTTGGCTGGAAACCACAGGTGTGGGTTCAATTCCAGACCTGAAGGGCAGCTAGGGGTGATAGTCTCAGTGGTTCCACCAGCCTCTATTGGACCAGTAACCTGATTCCCACTGTTTTCTTTCTACAAATGATTTGAGTTTTGTTCCACATTGTTCTCCCTCTCTATTAAGGATCTCCTACATAGATTCCCCTTTCAAGTGGATGACAGTGGTAACCAGGCACCGTCTAGTTCTTCTGTTCTCATAGTCAAATAGGCTGTAGATCGGATGGTGTACCAGTCACTAGGACTGATTGTTTCCATGAAT